GAGTCACTGCTGCTCTCCCAGTAAGTTTAAAAAAAAAAAAATCATAGCGCAAGCTTCGGGGCATTTTGACAAGTACAAGTACTTGTCAAAATGCACTGTATCGGGCCCGATTCCGATGCTAGCATCGGTATCGGGACATCCCTAATCTTTAGCAATGGTCTTTTGCTGATCCTCCAACTCTGCAACTTGCTGCTAAAGCATTTTGTTATTGTTTGGCAAGGAGGTAGCTCTATCTGTCCCCAAAAAAGGGTATAAAATTCATTTCAGTACAACGCTGCATGACGGAATAAATGTCAGTCAAAGTACCGCAGCGCTGAATACTGAAACATGGCCTGGATGGGAAGGGGGTTTAACACCGCGGATGTCAACTGGTTAAAAGAGTACTGCTGTGAAGCTGTGCATCAGAATTAAGTCATTGAATGATGAAAAGCTGACTTCTCCCTTGAAGCGACTACTTCCAAAATCTCTTTCTGGATAGACGTCTTCATAATCATGGGGTGTCTTTTCAATATCTGAAAATTCTGTGCAAACAGGATCATGCTCAGGTAATGTCTGCAAAGATGTTTTAGCTCTTTTTGGACAACTAGCACCAGCATCAGATGGAGTAACACCTGAACTGTTGAACATACTTTTTATTTTTTCAGCACCTCATGTAACTCTTCTTTTTATTTTAGGCTTGAACTGTTCTTCCCGGGACACGGCATCAATTGGCTTTTTTTTTAAATTTTATATTCACTCCTCTTTTTGAAGTTGTGGTTTTGCTTCTAGTAGTTGGGCATGTTCTTTGGCTATGGCATTTGTTTTTGACAGACTCCTCAAAGCCTTCAAGTTGCTTCTTTAAAGCCATTATTTCCTTTTTGACATGAGGCTTATTTTTAACTTTCTTCGCAGCACTTGCAAACTGGAGTTTGCTCAATGTTTCCCCAAGGGAAACAAGTCTAATGGTACTGATTATTACAGTCTTTGTATTGCCATCCAGAGAATTCTGAAGAATCCTCATCAGCTTGCTGTCTCTGTAGTTGATAAACTCCAGGTTGATCATACCCAAGTTTCTTAATGACTTACCCAAAAGGATAAACAAACTGCAGTTGATGTTACATCCTTTTAACCTTACACATTTTGCCTTAGTTTGACTTGCTCTTTCAGAGCCAGCTAAATCCACAAGATTAAGGTGAGATACCATAAGGTCTCGTTCACACCTAGGTGTATTGCATATGCGCGTCTGTACCGCGAATAGTGGTAAAAGACGCGCGCGACCCCGAAGGCTACTTGGGGCTGTATCCCAATGGAAACGCGCAACAAAATGGCCCAAAGTAGTACCTGTACCTTTTCAGGCGTGGGCCGTTTTGTAGCGCGTTAGGGATGGGCGGAAATACGCCAAGGTGGGAACGAGACCATTGAAAACAATGGGATTTATATTAATGAGCGTTTTGTAGAGCGTTTGTCGAGCGTAGAACGAGCTACAAAACGTTCAGGTGTGAACGAGGGCTTTCTGCTCCTTCACAGTTCTTTGAATTGCCAAGGTCATTTTTCTCTCTGGTTTCAATAATCATTCTAAAAATTGTATGAGACCGGCTACTGCGCTCAATCATTTTTGCCGTCCCAGAACGTCTGTTTACTTCACCCTTTTTAAACCATTTCATGACATGTTCAGAATTAATCACAAGTTCTTCAGTCAGGTGAGCAACATACACATTTCGATTGATAGCCTCACGGACTTCCAAAGGATTCTTTCTTCTGTCATTAGACAGGAGGAGGTCTGTGACCGTGTCATTATTATTATTATTATTATTATATTGGATTTATATAGCGCCAACAGTTTGCACAGCGTTTTACAGTATAAGGAAGACATTACAATCGCAATACAAGACAAGATGGTAAGGAGGGCCCTGTCCCTGGGGCTTACAATCTAAAAAAGGAGGGGGTAGCTGTGTGGGGAAGAATTGATTGAGGACGTGATGGTTCAGTGGTTAGGTTGAGGTGGGATAGGCTTCTTTAGGGATCGCCTAAAGGCAGTCAAGGTGGGAGATAGATGGACAGGTTGGGGTAAAGAGTTCCAGAGGATAGAAGAGACTCTAGAGAAGTCCTGGAGGCGAGTATGGGAGGAGTTGACAAGGGAGCTGGAAAGCAGGAGGTCTTGGGAAGAGCGGAGTGGGCGGTTAGGGTGATATTTTAAGACGAGGTCTGAGATATTTCCAGGTGCAGAGTTGTGGATAGCTGTATAAGTGATAGCTTTATAAGCCCCATGGCGAGTCCGGCCCTGCCCCCTAAAATACTGTCCTGCTATGATTACCTCCATACAATCGGGCGAACCCTTAAACAGACTTTCACAGCGTCCTCCTCGGCCGCCATCTTGCTGCCTTATCTCCTTCTTCTCAGTGTCAGCTGCGGGCGACCGGGCGGCTGTCACATGACTCGATTCATCCATTTCTTTTTTGCCTGTTTTAGAATTCCTTAATAGATTTCTCTTCTCTTGCTTTTATGTAGCTTTTTTTTTTTCTTCGCAGTGTGCTCATAGCTGTAATAAACAAGTGTATTTTGATGGTACTTGCAAACACTAAATCCATTGTTTAGCATCATGGATACAAAATTGTAAATATCAAATATAATATTTTAGACTTTTAATGAGTTGGGGGAAAAGATAAGGTTTTCCAACTTGTTGTAAGATACTCTTATGGTAAGCTAGGTAACACACAACTAAAAGTGTATGTAAAGCCAAAACCTTTTTTTTTTTCTATTTTCAAATAAAAATGATGGAGAAAGAAAGCGTTAAAGCCCTGTCCAGTTATTTATTATTTTTATTTTCTTACACTTTCTGTCCAGGAAACACCACAGAAATGAAAACACTTCTAATTGAAACAAAATGTTGGATTTCCCATAATTTTGTTGTCCCTGTATTAGGGCTCGTTCACACCAGACCGGAACGCACTGGATCGTATTTCGGCCGCCTCAATTTGTTGTGGGGTGGGAGGAGGTGTGGTGGTGCATTGATCTTAATGACACCGTAGCCACGTCTTTTGGCTGCACAAGAACGCAAGGCACATCAGTGCCTGCGGTCTGGTCGGGTCAGAAAAATACGCTGCAAGCACAATTTTTTTTCTGACCGGACCTGACCGCAGGCATTGATGTACCTTGTGTTCTCATGTGGCTGATCACATTGCGGCCGGAGAGTGTGGCTGTGGTGCCATTCACTTCAATGCACCGCCATGCCCCCTCCCGCCCCACAACACACTGAGCTAGCCGCAATGCAATCCAGTGCGTTTGGGCCAGAATGCATTGTGTGAACGAGGCCTAGTGGTTACCAGGACTGAGAGCATGAATCGTCTTTATAGGGTACACAATGTTAAAAATGTGACGGGGTTCTACTCTTTCCCTACTAACTAAACTCAATCCAAAACCAGAGATTAACCAGTTTCAGGAGCAGGGCAGCCATTGCTCCTTAAAAATAAAATGACTTTGTACATACTTTTTGCCCATTGTGTTCATAAAGACTATTTTAAGACAATTTGAACAATGTGCATATGCTGCTTCTTTTGTGTTTTCATGAACTTCCTAGTGTTTGTATCTATCGTAAATACTGTTAGTCTAGAAACAAGTCTTTATGACAAAAAACATCTGTATAAGTAAAGTCTAGGAAACGGTTCTGGAAAACAAACTAAAATACTTTCTCAAATGTCATGCAGCCTATGTCATAAGTTTAAACGTAAGTTAAGTCTACTGACGTCACCAAGTGACTCCCAGTTTCCTTCTTCTACAGCTCAAATATCCTTCTTTCCTCCTCAAGTGTACATCGTTTATCAATAAACATCTTAAGCAGCATGTTCTTTAGAGCATTAACATTGGACTATTATGGAAATGGTCATTGTCCTTTTGTTGATGACCACTAGATATTGCACTTGCTTTTTCAGATTGACTAATATAGTATTTTTGCCATTTCAGCATATAGACTGAGACCATGACAACTGAAGTAAATCCTGGAGTAGAAGTGAATGATTCAGAAAAGCCTGAAAATAAGAATGAGCCATCAGGAAACTCAAATGAGGAGGATCAGCAGGCAGATGGAAATATAGAAGTAGCAACTAATGGCTCTGAGAATAAAAACCCTGGAGAGTCAGACCAGTCAAATGCAACTGTAGAGCAATCTCCCCCCAGCAGTCCTAAAGAGAAGAGCCCAGGAAAGCTGAAACAGGAAAAGGAGGCACATGAAGGGAAAGGAATTTCACGATTTCTGCCACCATGGCTCAAGAAACAGAAATCCCTAAGCCAAGCCGATTCTAACGAGGATAACAAAGATAATGTGGCTGAGTCCTCTGATGCAATGCAGGTGAAAGATGAACAAGTAAACAGCCATGATGAAAAAACAGAAGATCAAGCTGTTGAGGATGAGACAGAGAGCAAAGAGGAAAAACCTCCAGTTTGCAATGCAGAGGTCTGTATACATTTCCTTTTTATGTTCTGTGGCTGTGAGAATCTTGCAATGCCTCATGGGATTTGTAGCTTCACCACAGCTAAAGGGCAGGAGGTTCCCCACCCTTGACATAGGGGCTTGTTAGCCCCTGTGTGATAGCAATAAAGCTAAGTGGGGAAAAACAAGTAATTAAATAAAAATGTAAAAAGGGATAAAGTAAAAAAAAAACATTTAATAAGTAAACAAATATAAGTTGTAAAAAAATACACCATCTGCTTGTGAATAAACGCGCACTGTGGGCATTGTGTGTGAGTGCGCCGAGTGCTGCCCCCATTCCGCGGTGTGCCATATTGTGGTAGTCAGGCAGCAGCACACTCTAAAGGTGCCCATACACCTTACAATTATCTGCAGATTTTCTGTGGTCAGATGGAAAAAGTGCAACAGATTGGCCCAGGTGGAGATTACTCCATCCACACAGTTAAGTGTAGATGGAGGGATCTGTTGCACCTTTTCCATCTGACCACAGAAAATCTGCAGATAATTGTAATGTGTATTGCCAGCTTAAAGGTGCCCAGACACCTTACAATGGTGTGCGCAAGCGCACACTGCCCGTTCAGCATTGCGGTCATCGGAAGCCCGCCCCTCAGGGGGGTGCGGCTTGCGATCATCGCAAGTACAATCTGCCTGTCCAAGATGGGCAGATCGTACGTTTTTTAAATTACCTTACAAAGTCTTGCGATGGTTGTAAGGTGTGTCCCCAGCCTAACACAGACATTGTACAATAAAGGCTAAGTTTACTTTCCTGTGTTATTTTGGAAAATTGAACTACCCGCTCAAATCTAACCCTCTCTCTCCCCCCTGCTATACTCACCTTTCGGTAAATGGTCCTTACCCCTGCCGATACAGGTGTACTATCCGTACCCCGTACTACCGTCCAGCGCAACCCTGCACTATGGATTTTGGATTTTACTCGCAAATTGCGAGCACTCATTGGTCAGCATGGTCACCTGATCACCTGTCCACCCCTCCCCTGCACTATGAGTTTTGAATTTCACTCACAAGTTATGAGAAGCACTTGGGCCCCTGCTTTCTTTGGACAATTATTTTTTTCCCCAAAATTTCCACACCCCTGGATGCTGTAGATCTGATTAGTTAACGTGTATGTAAAAGTCTTTTTTGGATAGAGCACAGAAGTGTAAAAACACCTGGAAAGTTCTCGGGACTGGATAAAAATAAATACAAATCATTTGGCAGGTGAAATGTCTCCCATATATGCATTTTATGTATGTATATAGCTGTTTGCTTGGAGCCTAAAGATGCATTTAATTTGATGTTACACTACTTGAGAAGCTGGGAAATGGTGCGTGAGGCCAGGTGATAGGCAGTCCAGCAACTGTAAGACCTTTAGGTGATCTTTGACCCTCAGGATAAAATATGGTCTGCTAATTTAATCAAACAAGTTATGGTGTAATATTTAAAAAAAAAAAAAAAAATTACAAACATGATGGATATTCTCCATAACTCCCACGGATCTTTACTTATGGATCATTGTACAGACTTGCAGTTTTTTATATCTGAACAAAATCGTTTTGTATGTATATTTCTTGTAGTTAGTTTAAAGAACAAGTTGTTGTTGTTTTATTTGCAGCCTTCCAAAGAAGAAAAACAATTAGAAACAGAAAAGGTTGAAGAAGTGGTGAAAAAGGACGGCGAAAAGGAGTTAAAGGAAAAGTCATCGGTTGAAAACAAGAAAGAGAGTTCTTTCAAACCCCCGAGGAAAATGAAATCCGTGCCATGTAGAGTAACCTTACTGGATAAAACCGAATACACATGTGACATTGAGGTAGGTTGACCTTTAAATATCCTTGTCCTTATAATTAAGCTTTTGTTTAACTCTTTCCTTGCCAATGTAGTTTTGCACATTTTAGCCCTAAAAATAGCATAAAACCCACAAAATATATAGTGATTAAAGGAGAACTATGGGGTTAAGGCTTTTCCGCATAGTTCTCCTAAGGGTAACGGTAGGACACAAACTAGCGTCTTCCTGTCACCCTAAGCTCAGTATACCGCGAAACTGTGACAGTTTCATTGTCACAAGTCGGCTAGAACTATGAGGATGAGTGAACATCACTCACCTCATAGTTCGCCTTTTAAAATGGTGTTGCAATTTTTTTGTCAATATTAGCAGAATGGTTTATCATACCCAAATTTTCAGTAAAACAACACATTCAAATTAATTTTAGTGCACACAAACACATTATAATAACCAGTTTTGATCAAATAAAATATGAGGTTGTGTCCAGTAAATGCACCTGTGAAACAGTGGAAAAACTTTGATACCCAAGATTGTCCATAGTCAATGCTTCAAAAGACTGGACAGATCATAAAGTTAGAGTTGACTGTGAATAATGGCCCTGAAATAATTGTTCTTTGGCGTGCACTGCGATACCAAACGTGTGGTGCAATTCTCGTTTTCTTACGTAGGGAAACCTGACGCATGTGTTTGTTTGCAGGGGGGAGTGGGTCTAAATTTATTTTTTATTTTTATCAGTAGTCTATTAGAGTGTCAGTTGAGCATCTGAAACTGATATCTGGAGCCTTACGCTCCAGCTCTGATTGCTTATTTAAGGCATTGAAACTTATGCCCCATATGTGTCTGCTGTTCGTTCACATATGCAGAGATCTCTGATTTAAATGTTGGGACACTGATGCAACATCTGACTTACTTGGACTGCGAGGGACGACATCTCTATGGCTCTACGCTTGATACCTTCATCAAGGACTCTACAGGAGGCCAAAGCATTCTCCTGGCTCTGAGTAGGAGGTCTAAAGTGAAGTTGGCTGGGCCCCATGCTCCTTTATCTACTTCAGCAGTAGGTGCCCACAGGCCTTAGTGCCTGATTCCCAGACAGCCCATAAGGCTTGTAGATAGAGATCAACTAAGCCCTTAGTGGTAATGTGTACCTGCCAGTGTCCTTCCTCTTCAGAGGGATTCTCTAACTTGCTCGGTCAATTAGGACCAGCTTTGACTGTTCATCAGGATGGAAATCTGCATCCTTGGTGCTTGCACACACCTGATACCTCTCCGAGCATTTACTCCTGTGTTGGTGTTTTCTTTCCTGATGTTCCTATTGTGCAACACTTAGATGTCCTCTTGTGAATCGTGTAAACGTGGAGGATCCTGGTTAACAATATCTCCCCACAGTGCTCAATTGCTGCAAAATCTACACCATGCAATTCTCCTGGGTTGGAATCTGTTGAACATCAATTTGGTGCTGCTGCGCCTTCCCCACTTAGAAGAAATTTGAGTCATTCCTACACAAGGAGGGGTAGCCTGGCTTCTGGTCTATAGTCTTAAGGTGCCCATACACTGCTCGATTCTCGTACGAGAGTCGCGGGAAATCCCGCGATCGTACGAAAATCGAGCAGTGTGAACGGAGACGTGCGACCGTTTCTACTGTACGGTCGCACGTCTTCCGTCGAACCAGCATGTTCGAAAACCAGCCGGGAATCGTACGATTCTCGGCTGGTTAGAACTGTGCTCGGAAGACAAATGCCGAACGGGCCGGTGTGCGCGTGCGCACGCGCACACTGCCCGTTCAGCATTGCGGTCATCGGAAGCCCGCCCCTCAGGGTGGCGGGCTTGCGATCGAGATTTCGATCTGCCTGTCCAAGATAGGCCGATCGTACGTTTTTTTAATCCCTGTACAACCATCGCAAGACTAAGGTCTTGCGATGGTTGTAGAGTGTATGGCCACCTTTAGTCTCACTTGCACTGTATTTCTACTGGAAAATTTCCTAGGATTGGGTTCTTCTCTACTGGAGGCCCACACCTTGGCGTGTGCCTCTGACCCTGCGCTGCAGGTGAAGAATATTGTAGGAGGGCCCATCATATAATTGAGCTCTTAGCAATAAATTGGGTAGGGTTTTTCTTGACCACAGGTTCTTCCAGGTCATCTGGTTGAAGATCATTTTTTTCCACTAAATGGAAAATTGTTGTTCCACCTACAGGTGAAACTCGAATAATTAGAATAGCGTGCAAAGTTCATTTATTTCACTAATGCAACTTAAAAGGTGAAACTAATATATGAGATAGACTCATTACATGCAAAGCAAGATAATTCAAGCCGTGATTTGTCATAATTGTGGTGATTATGGCTTACAGCTCATGAAAACCCCAAGAACCCCAAATCCACAACCTCAAAAAAGTAGATTATTACATGCAATCAATAAAACAAGGATTGTACATAGAACAATATCGGACCTCTGAAAAGTACAAGCATGCATATGTACTCAGTACTTGGTTTGGGCCCCTTTTGCAGCACTTACTGCAATTACTTTTGTACGATATTCTAATTATTCGAGTTTCACCTGTATATTTGTTGGGTTTGGTGATTGATCAGCTGCTCGCTGATTTAAGTTGGTGTTCCCCTTTGTGTAAAATCATCCCCCCTGGCAGTGCTCCTTTCTTCCTAGTCTGAGCGTGCCCATTTCTCTGGTCATGTTGACAGTCTTGATCTGGTGGGAGACTCGCTTACATGTGGTTCATATTTTGATATTGGTCCTTCAAGTAGCCTCTTGGCTGTAGTCAGTCTTCAGATCCTTTTGGGCTTGTGTTGCCCACTCTTCAGTTGGACTTCTTTTAGATGTCCTGACTGTGTCTGGATTCATGTCTCACTCAATGGACGCAAACGTAAATTGAGGTTTTGTTCTTGCTGAAAAATCCTTTTCTTGGAGTGCATTGCGGGACACGGATCCCACCTCTGTGTTTTTGTACTGCTTTACCTCAAAACTGCTGCTGGGTATGCAGGGGCTGGCTTACAATATTTATTTTCGCCAGTGTCCAGTTGTCCTGTAGGCAGCAGCATAACTTGACAGCTGCAGGGTCTGCAACAGGATCTCTCTAAGAAATATAATTCCTTTATTGGACATACAATCATTGTGTGGGTGCAGTCAATTTTGGTTGTGTTAGACATAGTTCACAGAGGCTTCAGCTTGTATAAGAGCAGTGTGAACAGCGAACACTTAGAGGGCATTTGCAGAGCTTTTGGCAAGCCACGAATGTTGGAGTGAGAGAAATAATTATTGGGGCCATCATTCGCTGCTAACTCTAAATTGATGACCTATAAAGGTTTTTTTGTAAGCATAGTCTATGGACAACTTTGGGTACTGTGGTTTTTCACCATTTCATGGGCACACACAATTGATCAGGCTTGACAGGTTTAGTATCTATAGATAGGATGAAACCCCATCTTTTATAATGTATAGCACATACTGTGGCGCATTTGGGGTGCTTTTGAGATGAATGGCCTGCAACGCACCTCCCACAGCAGAATTTGTCAGGCTGAAACCGAAAATTACTTTTTTTTTTTTACAATTTTATTGTAAGCATATGGCGCTTGGATAGCTTCAGCCAATGAATGGCAGCTGCCAGTGGCGGTACCTGAATGTAAATACAGCAGGTAGTGGGCTGGTGCATTTCATATTGCAATAGCAGGCTGGCTATTGCACCAGCCCACTGCTTGCTGTGCCCTCCTAGTGTGGAGGAGAGAGCTAGGGGATCCAACTAACTAATCGATAATGAGAATAGTTGTCAACTATAATCGATTTTATTATTGATTAGTTGGTTGCAGCCCTAGGTGTAAGAATATATTATGTAAAAATGTAAAATACAATAAATATAATTTAATTGATACACTGTTGGTGGTTAGAACAAAGTGTGAATTAATATTGACCTACTTTATAGCCAGGCAGGGAATACTTTGTAATCTTCTGTGAATGTGTATGTTCTCGGAGCATGACATGAAGCTGTCCTTTTTCTGTTATAGCAAATTAGCACAGGAGAAGAATGTGCCGTTAAGTGTATTTTCATGTCAACCATCTTTGGTAACGGACTCTCCCGTGATCTTGTATGTTTCTTGCAGGATAATCTGAAATGTCATTTATAGATCGTGCAAAATTTTCAGTATGAACAAGAAAAAACTGCATCGTCAAGGAGACTGCCGCTGACCTATTTTTTTTTAAGACTCCCTTCGAGTGCTTCATATGCGGTTTACTCACCTGAAAGCAGGGGGTTGTATCATCTCATTATTTGACAAATTACAGTCTAATTAATGACCTAGAAACTGCTTTGATGGCTCATCCCTCTCTCCCTCTTACACTTTTTACACTGAAAAAAATAAATATTTCATTGCAGAAAGCATTAAAAACTGCCTTGCATGGCCATATTTTAGTTAAGCACGTCTGAGCAAGTGATGCACATTTAAGCTGACATGAGATTCATGGCTGCTTGCAGTTCAAGACCATTTGTCGCGCACCCCAAGGAAATAGCAATACTCTGAACTGTACTGAGACGAGAGAGAGAGCGTAAGCCTTTATTACTTCCTACTTAACTCACACCTTTCCAAATATGTGATGGATATTAGTTGGTGGAGATAAATAAATATAACATTCTTACCTAGTGATAACAGTGATTAAAAATAGTATGAACGTTAATGATTATTCTTTCTAAATTAAATTGGGTTACTTCAGGCTAGGTGAATCCTGTTATTGCATGTTTATATAAAGTGGTATTGCAAGGCTAATACTAAAAAGATGCAGGTAATGTGACAATTGGTTCCTTTAGGGGCTTGTGCTAATATGTGGAGTGGCTTAAAGACCACTAATACAACATACACTGATCGGCCATAACATTATGACCAGTGAAAGGTGAAATTAATAACATTGATTATATCGGTACATGGCACCTGGAAGTGGGTGGGGTATGTTGGGCAGCAAGTAAACATTTTCTCCCTGAAGTTGATCTGGAAGCGCAAAGAATGGGCAAGCGTAAGGATTTGAGCA